TAAAGTTTTTCTTCATTACCCATTTAAGCCGTCTCCAGCCATTATTATATAAACGAAATAATATTATACTTTACACAAAACTGGTGGAAATGAAAGAAACCTATACACTTCTGTAATCCTTGAGTAGCTGATTTTTGTAAATTATCTTTCTCTGTACACTAGTTGAAAGACTAATGCTAAACTGTGTAATCAGGGCAAACATTTAAATAAAGCTGTACGTTTTGCTATATATGAAAGGTGTTGAATAAGTAAATACTTCCAATCGGCTTAATGCTACGAAGTTAAGTAATCCTTGTAGGTCAATACTAATGGGAAAACAATATAGAATCGAACGTTTCTACGTAGGTAAACAATATAGAATAGCAAAACAAAGCGATAACTGGGCGAATTTTTTAGAAATATGAATGAAAAAGCAACTATTTGGTTAAATAAAGTAAATATCTCCTTACATTTTTTCGTATTAATGATAAACATGATTTTGTTTAAATCAAATGTGCCATACATAAAGGTTTGAAAAATATCCTTTCTTTTGATATATACTAACGTAAAGTTAACTGTCATTCTAGTTTAGTAGGTTGAATATCATTAATGTTGATATTAGCACCACAACAATGGGTCATAACGAAATAAATGGTGTTGATATTGTTCCTCTGGTTTTATTTGTATTTCTAGCTACATTTACTCTGAGTATTGTATTATTATTGTTGTAATAATACGTCTTCTAAGTTGTAAGAATAGCAGAAATCGATTATTTAAAGCTTCAACAATGTGCATATTTTTCATTTCAGGTGAAGTTAAAGTTATTGTATTGACTTATCAGATGCAATGGGAAAACCTCAGTAATTGAATAAAACTGGGTACTTGAAAGCCAATGTCTTCAATTTTCCCGTGGCGAGTCGAGGTAACTTGTGATGGTGATCAGGAGTCGACTTCCTCACGCACGCCATCTACAGACAGTAACATGCAGTTGTCCTTTGCGGATATTGAAGAATGGCTCGACACTCATCCAGAAAAAATGGCAGATTATTTTCTTATGAAAGCAGATATCAGTCTCGTTAACCGATGGCTGGTGTTACATGGATTTTTGTCGATTAAAGACTATGTTAGTTCACGTCGAAACTCTGCTACAACCAACATCAGTAACGACTCATCTCCACTTGAAAAAAGTTGCGAATTTTTTAGTGATAGTCCTGATTCTTATATTACTTCGAAATCAGTCTCTAAGAAACACCTACGACAAGACTACGCACTCTCGAAGAAGATGAACGTTTTTCGAACGTGCGATACTCCTGGTCATAGCCCTGATGTTTCTTCTATCCAGTCACGAAGAAACAGTTTAAAGGACATGAGAAAGTGTCTCTCTCTTCCTTCCAGATCAATTTACATTCTTAATATGCTCATACAATCTAAAGTAGAAATTCCACGTTTCCCGTCAAAAGGTCGAGATTCCAAACGCGAGTTCCGTCTTTCCAATGAACGACAATTTTTCCTGGAGAGTGTTCAAGAGATTGCTCATGACTTGGATGCTAAAAGTTTGACCCAAAAGATAACTGTTAATCTATCAGTACTGGTGGACTGCGATGGAGCATCATTGTTTCTGATACAAGGACCCAAAAGTCACCGAATGTTGGTATCTAAAGTGTTTGATCTTCATACTGGTACAGACATCATTGTCGCTAGTCCAACAGACGATAACGAAGTCCGAGTACCCTGGGGTACAGGGATCATAGGTCATGTAGCAGAGAGTGGAGACATTGTGAACTTGACAAATGCAAGCGAGGTGTGTTCGTGAAAATGAAATTATTTGACACATAAAATCACTGTATTAGTTTTTTTCAAAATGAAGTTTTAACGAAACACTTATCAGGAAACAATTATCACAACCCGATAACTGTTAATCAAGAAGAGCTTGATAATAATAATTGTACTTATTCTATTACTCGTTACAGTTTTCAGTGAGGAAGATACAACGTTTTTTCACTGTAGCGATCATTCTTAAGAACACCAGTGATCGAAACGTCATACCTGTTCTAAGAACAATTCTTCTTTACTGTAAAAGCTGTAACGTGTAATAAAATAATACTTAATCGGTAAGTAAACTCAAAATGAAACTACTAATAATATATATTTAAATCAATTATAAAGTCTGAGAACATGTTAAAGTTAGTGCTGACTGGAATAACCATTATTAATTGAGGTCAGTATACACATTGTAAGGTATTGCATAATTTTTAAGCTAGTCAAACACCAGTCGATTGATGGGTGTCCTTGATTTGCATAAAAAAATTCTAGTAATTAAAATAACGAATTATAAATACCATTGTAACGTAAAATGCTGGGGTAGATTCCGTGCGGTGGATAGTGTTGAAATCCCATTTTTTAGCTATACCCCAGTAGGTCAGCGGTAAGTTTATGGACTTAAATGCTAAAATCCGAGGCTTGATTCCCCACGAGGGGCAAAGTGCAGATAAGCCCATTGAGTAGCTTTGTGCCAAAACAACAGCAACATTAACACGTATCGTTAATGCAGACCAGCTTGATTTGTGATGACAAATCAAACCAACTTGCGACACATCGAATTTTAAATATTTAAATGAGTGTACGAACTCGTGCACAGTGATGGGATTTCACTAGGTTAGCTTTGTTGTGAACGCTAGTAATGATATGAAACTAAGCACTTGTCACTTGACCGAAAACTTTTTAAATCGTTGTACTCTTAAAAGTTTTACTTACAACCTGAACACCCTTTAATCTTTATCATTTGATCCTTATAAAATTTATTACATCTAGAATATGATAAACAATATATATTTACATTACAATAAAATTTGGATTTATACATAAAAAATATTCTCGTATGTTTTACATTCTGTTCAAATAGTTTCACGTTAGTTAACCCTATCATAAGGAATTCCTCGCTTTTGAAATCTTCTATTGACATCGATAAGTGGTCATGTAAATATATTTTCGGTTATTTGCCAGAAAATTTTATTTTCAATTAGCAAAATATTTCTTTAGTTTACTGTCAGTAAGTTTAAAATTATTTAATGGGAGGGGGTGGGAGTTTTTGTGTGTTAGAGCTTCAAATGCGTTGTTGTAGATAATGTATTTTTAATTCTACATTTTTTTTAAGTGTTTTACTTTTGTGCTTTATGTTTGACCTTAAAATTGTAACATTCTATCTGGGTGTCCTAGCCTGGGGGTTAGGGCGTTTGATTTGAAATCAGTGGATTGCAGGATCGAAACCTATTGCCGGACATGCTCCCCCTTTCAGCCGTGGAGGTGTTATAATGTGACGATCAATGCCTTTATTCGTTGGTAAAAATTAGTCCGACTATCACTTGGAAATTAGGGACGACTAGCGCAAATGGCCCTCGAGCAGCCTTGCATGAAAATTCAACATGTATTTTATCAAGTTTCCTTCTACATATAAATTCCAGATTGCTGAAGTGTCTTCTAGGTCATGAAACCAGTATGATATTTGAATTTGGATATTTTAAATTATTAAGGTGAATTTTACTGGTTAAAAAAACTCGAGTTTAATTATTCTTGCTTGAAATTTGACTACGTGGATAATTTATTTGAGAGTGGATCATTACGAATCCTCCCACTCCCCTTCAACATTAATATAAACAAAAAGCGAAATTGCAAATATATCGTAATCTCTTCATGAAAAATTGAAAATTTCAGGTTCGTCCTAGTTATTAATACATGAAATACGATACAAAATTAGAAGTAGCCTTAGCTTTACTGGGTGGTTTGCTATGCCTACTTTGTACATATAAATCACGGAGTTTATATAGGATGCAGTGCGCATGATGTCATAGTCAGTGTCTTCAAGCGCCATATTCGAAGTAAATGCAAAACATTGCTTTGACATTTGTACATCTTTTAAGCATCTAAAATCCAGACTTCATTTACATTTACAGAATATTAAGCTTTGAATAAATTACCAGCGCAATATAGCAGGATGACAGATTACATTGAGACCCTGTATTTCCTGGTGAGTCCGCTGGTGACTTGTATAACTTAACAGTCAACATCATTATCAATGTATTGTATTATTCTTGGTAAGTCCTTTAGTAACTCGTATAACTATTGTTAATTTACTGTTTTCTTGTATATAATAATCTGTAGTACACACATTTCGTATCTCATAAAATAATATCAGTGTTTTTTGTGTGTTTGTTTTTCGATTATCATCAAGCTATAAATCTTTTTTTTATTTGTCTAACATTTTTTTAATCAAAATGAAAAGTAGATAGTGTTGTTTTTAGTTTTTCTCATACTTCATTCGAAGTTTTTGGTGGGGTTTTAGCACCCAAGATACAACGACGAAGTGGACAAGATTTGTGGCTACAGAACCGAAACTTTACTTTGCATGCCTGTTAGAAATGCTGATAACGATATTATAGCTGTTGCTCAGATTTTCAACAAAAATTCGGAAAGTGGGGAAGGAGTATTCACGCCAGAAGATGAAAAGGTGAGATAATATATATATATTTCTTTCCATAACTTATGTGGCTTTGAAATCTTTTCCCTCGTATATTTTCACTTTTTTTTTTATTCGACAAACTTCAGTAGTAAATTGCAAGATGGCTGTAGCTATGTAGCTTTTATAGTGTTTTATCAGCAGTCTAACCCAAGTGCATGATGGCTGCGGAATACTGTCGGTGTTTTCTAACGGCAGAATAATCCAATTGCATAATATGGCTGTGGCTGTGTAGCAGCGATGGTGTTTTACCAGCAGTATATCCCCGCTGCATGATGGCTGTGTAGCACCGATGGTGTTTTACCAGCAGTATATCCCCGCTGCATGATGGCTGTGTAGCAGCGATGGTGTTTTACCAGCAGTTTAGACTTGTAGTGATAGATGGAAAATATTCCACAATGTTGAAATACTGTAGATTAATTAACTTCACAACAGCAAAATAAGCTAAATGTCACAGTGTGAACATTGTAGTACTCTTACCAACAAATAACAGATGAACGATTGGAATGTCCTACAAAATCTAAACAAAAAAGGCTGGTTCAGGTTCTAAAATGGCTGACAGTATTAAATAATCTAAACACAATGCATGTTTATTTCTTTGGACATAAAATGAAGGAAAAGGTATAGGTAAAACATTGCTAGTTCACTCTGCACATTGTCTCGAATGTTGTAAAGACAAAATATGAGTGGTGTGATCAAAAGTCAGCATCAAAGTTAGTATTCAAGTAGTATCTCATTTTGTTTGACAATAACGGGACGCGAACCACGGATATGGCTTGGCTTTAGTCGTATCTACCGGTTAATTTCTCCTGTATAAAAAATAAAAAAAAGAAAAGAAAAAGTTTGTTGAAGATAAGAGCATAATGGCATATTTTCGAAAAGGATGAAGCTAATATATTTTACTTAAACATATTTTCAATTAAATGTTTCAGTTAAATGTTTACTATGAATTGTGATGTAACGTTTAATGATTGTGATAGAACAAGACAGGAAATTGAATTAGGAGTGAGGTGACATTCATAAAGACGTTTGTGAAGCTCTAGTTATTACTCGAACATTTTTAATTGTTCACAAAAAGTCGTTCTGACATATTTTCATTGATATATATATATATAATTAACTTAATACATCGAGGGTTTCTTCTTGATATTACAGAATTACTTGTGATCTTTTGGTAACTTTCCTAATTCCCATCGGGATTCTGCACGGTTTGCGTGAACTGCTGGCTAAATCTCAAAATTGAATTCTTTATTTCTTAACTATTAGCTGGCCAAAATGTACTTGGAGTTTTGTGGAATCGCACTTACTAACGCCTATTTGTTTGAACTGTCTCAGAAGGAGTATGAAAGAAATCGAGTGAGTTATTATTTTACTTTTCTCTTTTCATCAATCAGTTGCTATTAATCTCAGAAAAAACAACAACAACAACAAAAAACAATCATTCACGACCACAGAGATGTCTTATTCATACACCGCTTTTCCTTGCACAAAACTGTCGTTTTTAAAGTAGAAAATTTCGGCTGAGTTTTTGTGATAAATATAAGTGATAGAAACGATGCTTAGTTTAAAGTCTAGAATAATCGAATAAACTTCAATGAGTTTTAGGAGAGGGGTATTTAATGCTTTGTTGAGCCTTTTTTTTTTTAAATGCTTTGGCATATCTAACTGCTGTTTGAAGAAATCAGTAGATGTTAGTAACGAAATTTTTATAACTTTTTAATCCATCTCTTTGCAAATATAACAATTTGAACATTCTTAACATTTTTACTATTTCTATTCTTATATATATTAATCATTTTGTGGTCTTCACTTTTTTTCGTACATAATATTTTTGTTTGATGTTAAAAACAACTATTAGGTGTTAAAAGTACGAGTTTGAATTGAAATGTGTTAATTTAAAAATTAAATAAGCATTAAGTAAAATACCCGTATTCTTTTCCCCAACGTCAAACTTCTAGGTTCCAAATTAAACTTATTTCGGGATATGAATAACAATCTTGTAACGTTGAACAAAAACACTAAGCTATTTTTAGATTAGTTTGTAGTTACACCAGGCAGTTTAATTCTATACAGAAGTATATATGTTGAACCTACTTTTTGAAAACTCATCAACCACTCGCTTATACTCTCACCAAAATGTTTACCTTTTTGTTGTCAGGATATATCGTCTATCTAAGCAGCATAGATCAGAACTATTCACTTTAACATGAACATCTTTCCTTATCGTATATCTAAGCAGCATAGATCAGAACTATTCTCTTTAACATGAACATCTTTCCTTATCGTCTATCTAAGCAGCATAGATCAGAACTATTCACTTTAACATGAACATCTTTCCTTATCGTCTATCTAAGCAGCATAGATCAGAACTATTGACTTTAACATGAACATCTTTCCTTATCGTCTATCTAAGCAGCATAGATCAGAACTATTGACTTTAACATGAACATCTTTCCTTATCGTATATCTAAGCAGCATAGATCAGAACTATTCACTTTAACATGAACATCTTTCCTTATCGTCTATCTAAGCAGCATAGATCAGAACTATTCACTTTAACATGAACATCTTTTCTTATCGTCTATCTAAACAGCATAGATCAGAACTATTCACTCTAATATGAACATCTTTTCTTACCTAATGAAATGTGTTCTTTCTAAACAATTCTGTCAATATCACAAATATTTTTGTGTTGCAGAATTGGTTTTAAATATTAATCCTTTGAAAGGTTTAGTACATTGTTACATTTTCTGAGAAGACAAAATGAAATGTTAGGGGAAATTGGGAATGGTATACTGTCCAATTGTTAATTTAGAAACATGCATACAAGTGTATTAGGGATAGCTTTTTTTTAGAGTGATTGGAAATTTTTAAGCGTCTTAAGCCTGAAAATTTTCTCGTAGTAGAA